TTATGGGTTACACCCGTGTGCCATCATGTTGATGCTTGAGTTAGTTAGAAGTAGAACAAAACACTTATTGGTTACACCCGTGTGCCATCATGTTGATGCTTGAGTTAGAAGTAGAACAAAACACTTATGGGTTACACCCGTGTGCCATCATGTTGATGCTTGAGTTAGAAGTAGAACAAAACACTTATGGGTTACACCCGTGTGCCATCATGCTGATGCTTGAGTTAGAAGTAGAACAAAACACTTATTGGTTACACCCGTGTGCCATCATGTTGATGCTTGAGTTAGAAGTAGAACAAAACACTTATGGGTTACACCCGTGTGCCATCATGCTGATGCTTGAGTTAGAAGTAGAACAAAACACTTATGGGTTACACCCGTGTGCCATCATGTTGATGCTTGAGTTAGAAGTAGAACAAAACACTTATGGGTTACACCCGTGTGCCATCATGTTGATGCTTGAGTTAGAAGTAGAACGAAACACTTATGGGTTACACCCGTGTGCCATCATGTTGATGCTTGAGTTAGAAGAAGAACAAAACACTTATGGGTTACACCCGTGTGCCATCATGTTGATGCTTGAGTTAGAAAAAGAACAAAACACTTATGGGTTACACCCGTGTGCTATCATGTTGTTGCGTGGAATAAACATAAACATGGACGAACACCATGTACGGACAGCGACAATTTCTTACTTCAGTGGAATTTACTGTGTGCGTATGCGTGTGTGTGTGTTACATTATAAGTTTAGGTAACTCTGCAGTAACGCACCTGAAGAGAGACGGCGAAATATGCCTGGCAATCAATTCTGCAGCGTACTGTTTGTGTCCGTATTATTCACCTTCATTAGAAGAAAACTGTTGTGAAAAAACAAACATGTGCCTACCTGATTTCTATCTAATCAGATCCGACGAAATGTGCCTATTATTCTGCAACCCCGCCAGGAGCCGAGCACCACGTCATCAAGCTGCCTATTTCAGAGGCTAGCACATCTGACACAAAACTGAACCACTGCAGCACGAAAGAAGTTCAGCTCGCACGCACACACACGCATACAAACCCGCGCGCACACACACACACAAACGCACACACACACGCGCACACACACACACAGAGGAACCCGTAACACCCCTCAGCTAGACAGACGCCCGCACTTTGCCTTACCGCTCACATGGTAATGTTTAAGCAAGCAGGTAGGGATGAACTGGATTAGCTAGGCTCAAGTTATTCACAGAAATCAACAAGTGCAAATCGCCATGTATATATTTTTTCAACTGTATCCAGTACAATGACAACTACTTGATGTCATCACAATCGATATCCATGTATATTCTACATCAACAATCTTCTGTTACTGTCTCTACGTCTATCTACCTGCCTGTCTACCTAAGTGCCTATCTACCTGCCTACCTACCTGAGTGCCTACCTACCTGCCTACCTGTCTGTCTACCCACACACTACGTAGCTACTTACCTACTTACCAGTCTAAATTTCCAATTTCGTATCCCAAAAACCCAGTTTTTGTGAACTCCACACTCCGAGTATTTCTACCCACTTTTTATTAATCGACAGATGGGCAAACAATCCTAAACAGTCGCTGTTTGCTCCTCCCATCTCCCTGACTCAATAATTGCATTAACACGGGTCACAGAAACGCCACTTTCTCAAACAAGTTGAGAAGCCAGAAGACCGCGTTAAAAACCATGTCATCTAGCTTTGATAAAACCACGCAGTGAAAACACACCTCCCCTCGCTTTTGCATTCTTCATTGAATGGAATTTGGCATTTCTTGCCTTTGATACCCGCCAGTTGCCATTTCCTCCTCACAACAGGAAACCATCATTTCACAAAGACGATCATTCCACAAACTTCGAAATTCCGTGTAGATAAAGCCCCACTGCAGAGCTTTTCAAAATGTACGTTAGAGCACATTTGTTCAGGGCTTTTAAAACTGTGTGTCGCAGCACACTAGTTCAGGGCTTTTTAATCTGTGATTCGCAGCACATTAGTTCAAGGTTTTTCAAACTGTGTGTCGCATCACATTGGATCAGGGCTTTTCAAACCGTGTGCACATTAGTGCAGGGCTGTTCAACTGGTGGTCCAAAGGTCGAATCTGGTTCACAGTGGCTTAACAACTGGCCCGCGGATCACTACCAGGTATATTCTGTTAATGATCTTCTCACGCTGGGGCACAGCCTCTGGCCCCTGACCATCTCATTTTCAACATTTCGGCCTCTGAGCTTGCATAAGTGTGTCAGCTGTATTGTGAAGATGTTTCGCGCGAACTCCATTTGTGTATATATTAGTTAAACATCTGATTTGCTAACCGACTCATACCGTCTTGCAAAATAATGTGTGCCCTGAACGCGAAGAAACAAAAGAGTGCACCGGCATCATAAGTTCGCAAAGCTCTGTTCAAGTGGTTCCACGCGTCCTCCTGCTCAAGCAATCTGGAGTTTGTGGTCTCGTTTCAAGGACGCATCGTTCGTTTCACGAGTGCAGTTCCCCCCCCCCCTACCCCCACCCTCCTCCGCCGTAACCATAGACCACTGGGTATAATGAACGTTGACATAATATTCCTGCACACTATGAATCCACAGAGATTATTTCTCTTAGTGTTTAGTGGTTGTAAACTGGCGGAAATTGCTGGTTGTTCGTCCATTTCTGGACGTTGGTCTTGTTCCAAAACTTGCGTTTTGTGTGCACATCGGTTTAACAGATCTGGCTGTACGCAGACTGCTGGTTCCTCGTCTCTCAGGCATAGATGCACTCCGATTTCGACAGAAACTCCCCTAATTAGCCGCCGTGTACGATATGTTTTTTCATTCCTAGGATAATTTTAGTTCGGAAGCAAAACGAGTTTTACAGTACCGACGTGACCCGATGTACCTTATTAGGATGGAAATTAGAGACGTTTCTCCAAACTTTTTATCATGGATGCCTGTCTCTGCACCTCTTTTTTTTTTTTTTTTTTCCCTATATTGTACTTTTGGATACATTAATGTCATGGTTCTGTCGAAGTTCAAGATTTCATTACTTCGGCGTCATTAATTATTTATCGTACCCGTTTGATAACTTATTGACCAAAGCTTTCAATGTTCCTGTTCACTGCCGGCTCAACACTGCTATGTGTAGAAAGAACTGACTCTTCTATAGCCCATCTTGAGTATGTTCGCTCGGTAATCCCTAAGGCATATTTTGTTCCTTTCTCTGCGTTTGAAATAGAGCAACGAAGACAACCGCGTTTAGACTCAAACAAGAAATATTGGTATAACTGCACTGATATATTTTTTAGTGTAACGTATGTAATTTCCACGTCATTCTGATAACGACAACTAACTAACTGCACAAGTTATGCCTTTGCAACTTCTGACGAAACCTGACAGCAACAGGATTTTCATCCGAGGAGATGTTTCCCAAGGTAAACGAAGGCAGTTACTGTTTCCAAAACTACATGATCTATTTCTATAGGTCTTTCCCTTTTGGAGTTTATCTCCAACAATGTTATTTTACTGCTACTTACTGATTCTTAACCCAGCTATTTCTGTGATCTTATCTGTCTTTTGTTGTAGATGTTCTTTACTTTGGCTGATGACATAGATATAATATGCAAAGTCCTAATGTTCCAGGTGTGCGAGAGGGTTCCACTGAAGGCTTATGGTCGCTTTCTTCGTAACATAATCTATCACTGTGAGAAACACAAAAAGTGCTAGATTATGTTATAAAGATTATGTTCAACCGTAAATTCATATTAGGGCCTCCAACGATGACCAAGTCTAGCTGCTGTCGGGCTGTAATAACAAAATACCCCCTACTCCCCCCCCCCCTCCCCCACCCGTGTGGGTTCCGGGACTCATTGTGGGGAAAACAAGAAAATTTATATTGCCTTCCCAAACTGAGGGAGAGAGGGGGAAGGGGCGGGGGTGCTCATTTGAACTCAGAGTTCATCCGCCTGAGAGACAAGCAGCCAACAATCTGCATACACATGTCAGATTTGTAAAACGGATGTGCGCACACCACTCAAGCTCTGAAAGAAGACAAAGACAATCGGTGGACAAACACCCAGAAGTTTCCGCCGGAGTTGACAACCGGTGGACGCCAAGAAGAATGTAATTTCTTTTCCGGGGGGGGGGGGCATATCGGGAGAGACTCGACGCTGCACACCTTTAACAAGTCAACCTGTGCACAGTGAATGCCTCCCAATCTGCATAAGGTCACGTGTCCGGGTTACCCCTGCTTGGGCCAACTGTCGTCTGGGACCAGTCTTGTCCTATCTTCCAACTGATGACTACTTACAATGTAGGTCAGGGCGCTGCTTATGTCATTACATGTCATTACCTAATATTACATACTATTACATATCATCGTCGCTGGAGCTACAGACCACGCGCTTTGTGCAACGCTCTCGGCAGGCGGCTAGGAGATAGCACAATACTGATTGTGACAGATACACAGACACACATACAGAGACAGACAGACAGACAGACAGACAGAGAAAGAGAGAAGTATGAAGCAAATGAACACAATGGCAGACAAATAAATAATAAGCAGCTAGACAGATAGACAGAACAGATGAATGCGCAGACGGATGGAGAAAACCTTATTTTCAACGGATTAAGATATCCAGACAGTCAGAGAGAAAGATACACAGACAGAACCTTATTTTCAACGGATTAAGATATCCAGACAGTCAGAGAGAAAGACACACAGACAGAACCTTATTTTCAACGGATTAAGATATCCAGACAGTCAGAGAGAAAGACACACAGACAAAACCTTATTTTCAACGGGTTAAGATATTCAGATACAGACAGAAAGACGCACAGACAAAAACTTATTTTCAGCGGGTTAAGATCCAGATAGTCAGACAGACAGGCAGGCAGACGACGGACGCACAGAGCATGAAAGAAATCACGCCGCACACGTGGCCGGATCGCCTAGTAGCAGACACAGATCATTAGGCCTGACTACACGCTGTCATCAGGCACGTTTAGTGACAGCAATTCCCACATTTATTGTGATATTCTCTCTCTCTCTCTCTCTCTCTCTCTCTCTCTCTCTCTCTCTCTCTCTCTCTCTCTCTCTCTCTCTCTCTCTCTCTCTCTCTCTCTCTCTCTCTCTCTCTCTCTCCCCCCCCCCCAACCCAAGTACTTTCCTCTTCTTGTTCTTTCTTTCTTTACATATTTACCCCTCAAAATCCCCCCCTCCCCAACACTGTATTCTATCCTCGTAATCCCCCTCCCCAACACTGTATTCTATCCTCGTAATCCCCTTCCCCAACACTGTATTCTATCCTCGTAATCCCAATTCCCTAACTCTCTTAATTTATCTTAATCAACTCGGTTTCTGAACCTCCCTCTCTCGTTTTTTGTTTACATTTCTCCACTTCTCTATGTAACCTGTGCGCGCTCTCTCTCTCTCTCTCTCTCTCTCTCTCTCTCTCTCTCTCTCTCTCTCTCTCTCTCTCTCTCCTCTCCCCCTCTCTCTCTCTCTCCTCTCCCCCTCTCTTTCCTCTCTCTCTCCTCTCTTTCCCCCTCTCTCCTCTCCCCTCCTCTCATCTCTCCTCTCTCTCATCCCCCTCTCTTTCCTCTCTCTCTTTCTCTCCTCTCCCCCTCTTTCTCCCCTCTCTCTCTCTCCCTCTCTCTCTCTCTCTCTCTCTCTCTCTCTTATCTCTTACCTAACCAGAAAGATAAAGTAGTGAATATGCGCCGACAAACCACAAAAGAGACGAGACAAAGGGCTGAAAAGTGTTTAGAAAGATTTCCTGGCAGCTCGCCTGCGATCGATCCAGTTTGTCCGCTCCGCGCTGTTACTTAAATGTATACCCCGCCACAACGATACTAATTAATCTCTGTAATCTCCATCCAGACTGTAGACCAACAAGGCAGAATGATCGCAGACACCCTGTTACAACTACACACACCTCATCATTAGCACACCCGTCGGCCTGGTCTTCTTCTTCTTCTTCTTCTTCTTCTTCTTCTTGGCGTTCATCGGCTGTAAACTTCAGCGGAAAGTTCTCGTTGTTCATCCACCTCTTGGCTTTAGACTCCAGAACCTTAGGGATTGAGTGCACTTCTGTTTTACAGATATGGCTTTGTATGCAGATTGTTGGTTCATTACCTCTCAGGCTCATCATGCACTCCGACTTCGAAGGAAACCCTCAATCAGTCGACTCTTACCACAAGTTTGCAGGGGAGGCCGTGGGTCTATTCTTGTTCTCCCCCAGAATGGGGGCGCGGAACCCACATATTGAACTGGCTTGTGGATAAGGACGTCGGTCCGGTAGCAGATGGACATCGCACACAGACCTGGGCTTTTAGCCTAAAACAGGTATCTGGTAATGCTACTGGAAGTAAAAGCGGCAGAGAAAATGTTAAACTAGTGCCGCCGGCTCTCTCAAATAATGGGTGGGAGGGCGAGGACAAACATCTGATGCGCTTCGAGGCGTGAAACTGGTCCTTTGCCTTGATTGCTCTTTAAGGAGATCAGTGTCAATCAATCAATCGATCAATAATCAATCAGGTGCCATCTCCACGACAAAGGTTTGCTACAATAGAAGTCAAAGACTGTCTGTTGTACTCTCTCACTCTGCTCTGTTTCTCTCTCTGTCTGTCTGTCTGTCTGTCTGTCTGTCTGTCTGTCTGTCTGTCTGTCTGTCTGTCTGTCTGTCTGTCTGTCTGTCTGTCTGTCTGTCTGTCTGTCTGTCTGTCTGTCTGTCTGTCTGTCTGTCTGTCTGTCTGTCTGTCTGTCTGTCTGTCTGTCTGTCTGTCTGTCTGTCTGTCTGTCTGTCTGTCTGTCTGTCTGTCTCCTGTTCATCCATCATTTAAAATTTCGCTGTGCACACAAGTGATTATGAGTATTCTTGTTTGCAACTCTATTACTGTATATTTGTGTCCTTTGCTTCGTGACCGTGATATTGTGACGGTGACTGGTTCTACTACTTGTCTGGACCTATGTTTGTTTCATGTCCGTCAATTTGTAGTTCGTCCCTTTTGAATCGCCATTTACACCCCCGCTAGCCTGAATTTTGTGACGTCAGACTGGGGCCATAATATGCTATCCACATTTATGTTTGTCCGTGTTCTCGGTCAGCTGTCAGATGGTCCGCGAAAAATGTCACCTGTTTTACCGGGTCACGGGTGTAAAAAGCTTAAAAGCGCTGCGAGCCGCGGGTATAACAAGCTGAAGAACGCTGCTCTACAGAATGCAAACAGCGTCATAAAACCATAAATCGCTAACGAATAATGCTAGGTTGGTTTGTGATACCTCGTGTGTTAAGAGTATACAACTATCATGTTACATTCCCTATGAGTAGCTGCAATACCCACTAGTGTGGGGTATGGCCCACTAGTGTGGGGTATGGCCCACTAGTGTGGGGTATGACCCACTAGTGTGGGGTATGACCCACTTTGGTTGAGAACCTCTGAAGTACACTAACAGTTGAACAAAACACTAGACAGCAGACAAGAAAAACAGGCCTCCAATCTGAAATCCAGCAATCAAGTCAGCTTAAACACGACAGGAGTAACACAGGAGAGCAACTCGACAGCGGATTTCAACTGTGCTGTCTATGGTTACCAGCTGGCAGATTGTGGGCATTTTCAGGGCCCGCGCCGCTATCCAAGCGCGCTGATTCAACAACATTCCATGATAACCGACTGAGGCGCTTCGAGCGACTGCATTATTCTTCCGCAGTGGCGCACACGGGAGCCGCGACGAAGGCGGGGGAGACTTGGGTTTACCCCCAGGAAGCCCGGGAGAGATGCCGGGAGAGGAGAAACCAGGATAATTGTACGTTAAAGATTGAAGGCTTCAGATGGAAAGGAAACATAATACGCTGGTAATTTGTTCCAGACGCCATACTGGTCTCCGGCGCCATCAGTACACAGTTGTTTCTGAACTCTTTGCGACACAATGTTCCTTGATTCATTGTATTCGGGCAGTTGCCACTTTACACTAATTCTCCTTTTTCTTCATTTGAAAGTACTTTTTTTTTTTTTAATCACTGGCTTTTAAGCTCTAGCGGAAAGTCCTAGTTGTTCGTTCATCTGGACTGCGGCTTTGTGCCAGAGCCTAAGTTTTCGGTGTACATCCGTGTTACTGGCTTATCTGTGAACGACCGGCTGTTCCTTGCCACTCGGGCAGATGGACATCCGAGAAATCCCACAATTAGTTGACACCTACGACATGCTTGTTGGGGAGGCAGTGGATCTATTCCTGTTTTCCCCCACAATGGGGCCCCAAAGCCCACACGGGGATTTTAAAGTACCGTTGGCACGCTGCGTTTAGCTTTACAGCTAGGGTGCGATATCTATGCCTTGTGGTCCGACACATCGGATTTCATCTGACTGATTTGCTGATCAAAGAACCGGCATCCCAGCACATAGGCCATACCCTGGGGGTCAAGCAGCAGCGGTAGCTCTCTGGCATAACTGTTGTTTGTAGACCCGAAGGTCTCCATGACCTGGACTCCCAGTGGAGCCAGTCTAAACGTGGTGTCCGCTAATGTGATGGGAGGTCAAGATCGCCGGCGTAATGCTGACCACATCACGCACTGAGTGTTGACTGGCCTACGTTCACCATCGAATGCTCAATAGCGTGTAAATGGCGGGCCGTGGCCACGGTGGAACAACACCCTGGAGATGCAGTGTCTGTGAAAACACACAGGGCTGCAATACTGGCTAGAGAAAGAGACATTGACTGTCAATAAAAAGCTTAACGAAATAAGGAAGCAGAGTAACGTGCACACAACCCATAAATCGACGTCTGATTCTGTGATAAATACCGTAAATCTGGGCAAAAGGTGGGTTTTCTACCTACCCTCAAGCGTAAACTCGGACAACAAGAAGTTTGTCACCAGTCGCAGCGCAGCTAGTTTAATCATGTCAGCTAGAGCGCCGGGCGTGATAAATTATAACAAGATAATGTGGAATGAACAAAATAATACAAAAAGGCCCGAAAATGGTCAAAAAAAGGGTACAGTGAAAATATATTTAAAAAAATATTACCACGTGTCGGTTCCAGGGCCCTATTATGGGCTAAACAAGAACAGACCCAATGCCTCTCCATTAAGCGTGTCGTAAGAGTCGACTAATTGGGAGTTGCTTTAGAGTCAGAGTATATCTGCCTGAGCGACAAAGAACCAACAGTCTGCATACAAATAAGTCAGACCTGTAAAACGGATGTGCATGTAACACTAAGGTTCTGGAAACAGTCTAAAGCCCAGAGGTGGATGAACAACCAGAACTTTCCGGCGGAGTTTACAGCCAGTGAACGCGAAGAAGAGAATATATTATAATAATAGCAAGGATAAAAGAGTAATAGAAATACAAATGATCCATAACTAGTACTGACAAATAGACGAACAATAGAAAAAAAAAAATGATAGAAGAAAGAAAGATGTTCGGGCGTCCCAGGAGAAGAACACACTGACAGATGATAATGAAGGGTCACAGTGGGTGGCGTTGATTCATCAATTGAGGTCACGGCCTTCTGTCACGTATCGCCAATCATAAAGATAACCTTCTGAGCTATGAGCCCATGAACTCAAACTGCTAGCGTAATCTCTCGGCCCCCCCCCCCTCCCCTCTCCCAGCCCTTTATAATATGGATAATCAATTGTCTGCGACACTAAGCTATATTACGTACTCAACCAATTATATATATATATATATATATATATATATATATATATATATATATATATATATATATATATATATATATATATTTACCTAGAGTTGACCACCATCCATTGGCCACTTACTGGTCTGTTAATCAATAAGTAACTAGAGTCGTATACTCAATAAGCCTGTCTGTCTATGGTGTGGTTCTTGGCTTCCTTCCTCCCTTCCATAATTTCGCCAGGCTGCTAACTGAAAGTTTCACAAGCCTCAGATTTCAACATCTTAACCTGGTCGGCAAGTCGAGAGGACATATCACAGATACCCTGCTCAACTGCTAAAAAAGTTACAATTAGGGCACGGGTAACGTCGACAGCAGGTATCATCTGTGCTCCTGTGCGGCTACAGAATATAAATCTGTGCTCCTGTGCGGCTACAGAATGTTAATCTGTGCTCCTGTGCGGCTACATAATGTATCATCTGTGCTCCTGTGCGGCTACAGAATGTATCATCTGTGCTCCTGTGCGGCTACAGAATGTATCATCTGTGCTCCTGTGCGGCTACAGAATGTTAATCTGTGCTCCTGTGCTGCTACAGAATGTATCATCTGTGCTCCTGTGCTGCTACAGAATGTTAATCTGTGCTCCTGTGCGGCTACAGAATGTATCATCTGTG